TTCACATTTAACATTTTGACACCCATATCTACTGCTGGTGTGAGCAAGTTCATGCACTCTTTCTCTTCCAGTCTGTGCAACAGGGTTGTTAACAGTAACAAGGCAGAAAGGATGGTGCTGTTTCCAGATCAGAAGGAACAACTGACCATGTTTCATCCCATGAAATTCTACAGTCATGGCAAGTCCTACAAAAGTATGTTAAAAATTGATAAAGATGTCCAGTTAAAAATATATTATAAATTATTAAATACATATATAGTAAGGATAACAATCTCAGCTCTTGCATTCCTATTTGGCTGGAAAAAAACTCATGAGGATAAAGGAGATGGAATCTCCAAAGTCTCAATACACATTGTTAGAGGTACACAGTACCAGTGGTCGATTTGGGAAAGCAAAGGAAAGAAAGTTGTTACTAAAAAGGAAAATTTTCAGATTCCAGTCTTTGGTGTTGCATGAAAATAGATAATATTGCCCTTTTTATGAATCCATAATCATGCATTTAGAACCTGATGAGAGCTTTGTGTACACCTTCTTGTTCTCTCTATTATTTTTATTCCATGCCTACTTTATCAGCTGAATTTTAGCTATTTCTATGCATCTGTTCCTATTCCAACTGTAACAGTTCTGTTGCTTTTCTATTGTATGACAGGCATTCTTGGTAGTCATGGTACATCCTATACAAACTCAGTTTCAGTTAAACTTCCTTCAGTATTCATGACTAGCATTGAATAAATAAATCTGAATAACATAAATATTTCCACTATTAATTAAAATGTATTAATTCCTCAATAACATTTCCTTTTTTTCACAGTTTTCTTCTACTGTTCTTTTTCTGTGCTAACAAGGCACACAGATTTTTTCTGCCCTTCTTTCACTTTCTACCATTAATTTTCTTCAAGCAAAAGACTTGTTAATTCACATTATATATTATTAGATATTCTATTGGAGTTGCTTCTTAGGGTTATCCAAATACTTATGCAGAGTAGTCCAACATGACCCACTTGATAATGTTCCCTTTGGTCTCACTTTGAATGGTCTGAAAATTTAACTAACATGCTAATGCTTGTTAGTTACGCTACTTTATCCCAAGTCAAATCTTTAAAGAATTTCAGCGGTAACTGTGACATCCTAGTTGTTGCATACAGTTCTTTTCTTCTTCAAATCCCTGTTCTATTCACCTATTTTCCATCATAACTACTTATTTCCTGTGTAACACCAGATAAATTTCTTTGTTGAAATGCTGCTAAAATCAATGTTGTCTTTCTTTTATCTAGAAAACCATCTCTCTTTTATTAGTTAGACCCTTAGGTCTAAGAAGACATTTAAGAAAATGAAGATTGCTTGTGTTCCTGATTGAAGGGTAGTAAGTACTGTATCTTATTACTCTGGGAAATTTGAAGGTAACAAGCAGGTGACTTTTGTGGTTGGAGAAGATGTTCCATTAAGCCCTCATGGATGAAACAGTACCACAACTTCAAAATGTAACAATGCAACATGATTATACAAGAGAACCCTATCAAATGGACTAAGTTGAAAATTTAGAAAAAGTACTTCAGATACTTATTTTTCCAAATTTCTAATAAATTCAGCAGGATTTATGTCTTCAATAATTAAATATTTTTCAGATTAAATTATGATGCACATATTGACACAATCTTTTCCAGGTTTTAGGAAAGATTTTGATATAACATTTTCTGTTTCAATATAAAAATGTATTTCAGTGAAATAGCATTCATTTCTGTGTGCCTTGTTTTGCCAAAATCAGATAATATTGTCTTCAATTTTTTTGAGCAGAAAAACACTTGATAAATTAAATATTTTTCAGATTAAATTATGATGCACATATTGACACAATCTTTTCCAGGTTTTAGGAAAGATTTTGATATAACATTTTCTGTTTCAATATAAAAATGTATTTCAGTGAAATAGCATTCATTTCTGTGTGCCTTGTTTTGCCAAAATCAGATAATATTGTCTTCAATTTTTTTGAGCAGAAAAACACTTGATAAATTACTTGCATGGTCTACACTAGTGACCTTCAAAAACACTTCAATACATTGGGAACTAATACAAATCAATCATCTCACTTAAAGCCTAAGAGATCAGAATATAAAAGTTTTTTGTTTTTTTTTTTTAAATTTATTTCCATCATAAGCTGATAGAAAAATACCATAGAGAAATGGAAGATCATAAATGGAATAGTTTCCCAGATTTAAATGCAAAGGAAGGGACTGTATTTTTTCAAGTGGCTTAAGAAGCTCACATTTGAGATATTTAGCATACATCATCCATTTTATGCAAAGTGCCCAAAGCAGTGTGATAGGTACACACATAGAATAGTTTATGACACTCTCACTTCAAAGAAAGTCTGATGCATTGTATTTATTTACTTTTTTAATTCAGTGCAGAAAGAAAGGAAACAAAACGAATAAACAGGAAAAACCTCCTCAGAACTTCCATCCTTAAATAGTTTCTCCATTTTTGAATGTTAAATTCAACATCTTGTTTCTCATTGAAACATCCATTTACAATAGCCTTAGAATGTATTTTTCAAAAATTAAATCCATAACCTTTTTCCTACTTCAAGGGAAAAAGCTCAAATGAGGAATGCAGCATATGGCAATTGTGTGGAACAGCAGTGTAGTAAGAATAGCATCAGAGAGTTGAAAGGTTTGGCCCTTACATATGTTTTCAAGTTTCAGTTCATGGCATATGGGATATTTTTTAAAAATGGTTTTTCAGATTAAGAAAAAAAAGTAAAAATCAATAGCATATTTCTATTTGTTTCAGCTTTTCAGTTTTCAGTGATGTTCATTCTACCCTTCTGGGACACAGGTGACACCTCTATTCATTTAAAAGCATTTGAGATAAGTCATGAAAATTAAATTGAGTATCTATTAGCAGGGAAGCATCAAATATATGGACAGCTGTGCAAAAGAAAGATACCTAGAATATATACAAATACTCATATGAGGCTCTTCATGATTTTAGACCAATATTTGCAGGATTATTGGTCTAGATGTTGTTTCTGCTAGTTTGTTCCATGCCTCATGCACTATTGAAACTAGGTCCTTTTAGAGTAACATGATTATTAAAGTAACTTCGTCCATTTACTCTATTCTGGAACATTTCAATACCACTGTGACTTAATAAAAGAAAGCAATGATAATTAAGCTTCACTGGTTTTCAAGTGATTTGACAAAACAAAACAAACTCCTAATGTCATGGATGAGAAGTAGACCATCTGAGTATATGATATACTGAATTAAAAAAAAAAATAAATGAATCCAATAAAGCCTATTTAATCCAGTTACTCTGCAAATAGGACACAACTGCAATATGACTAACTCACAAAATTAGTTAAGACTTTTAAAGCCTGCAGTTTTAATTAATTTGAGATCAATTACAAAAATAAATCTGCATATTGTCATAATGACGGGATTATGGGTACTCTGTCAGACCTCCTGCTGCTGCTACAAAAAGGTACACAATCTCCTATAAGTCTTGTAACATAGCTGTTTGTGGGCTAAACAAAGCTTGTTTGTTTTTTATTATATTCCATTACTCTTGCAGTTAGTGGAACGAGTCTGACAATTCCAGAAATAAATTCATTCTACTTATCTCAAGCCTGTATGTTAGGTGTGATAAGCAAAACCTAATATAAAGGATTTCTGAGTTTTTGCAACTGTATAATCAAAACTGAGTTATGTTCAACTGGAAGGAATGGAGTGGGCAACATTCAGTGTGTTCTTGAACTATGCAATAGCATAGTCTATGATGAAACTCAATAGCCATAATATGACTTTTTTTGCCTCTGTAATTTTTATCCAAACTTTTCTTGATTTTTAAAAATATCCTCATTCTGTTTCATTCTATCCCACAACTGCAACTGTTTCACATCCTTTCTTCCTTGCTGTTCAGTAGCTATAAAGTATGAGGAAAAGAATATTCCAGAAATTTGTCTTACTCCATTGCTCCCAAGATTCCCAATGGATTCTTTACTGACTGCCCCTTATTATGTTCTGTTTTCTATAGTGGGATGCATTTTCTCTGCTTAAATATCAAAATCATAGAAGCCAGAATCTGAGACAGAGTCCTTAGGTTTCCTGTAGTTACTTGAGAAAAATGGCACTTACAGAGCACAATTTATGCTGTTTGAACATAAATGTGAAAAACAAGTAAGACAAACAATATCCAAAAATTAAATATTTCTTCCATTGATCATAAGGCAAGTTTAGGATGATAGGCTCAGTTGTAGCTGTCTAAATAAAAATATTTGATGTTAGGTGCGATGAAATCCTCCCCCATCTCTAAATTATTTCAGTCCATACCATAATTTTTTTTGGCCACATAGCTAAAAGCAAGTACTTTAAATGTACTAAGCAACAAGTAACACATAATATCACATTACTATAAAATGAGTCTTAATAAGTGCTGTATTAGAACTTGAGCCATAAAATAGAAAACTTAGAATACGAACACAATTAGAATACAGATTTAAGGTAGTCTGATTGCTTCGATGAGAACAAAATTTATGTTGACTTCCTGGGTGAACGTAGTTGCCTTCAGACAAAGAAGGTTTCATGGGCTGATGCTTGGATGAAGCAAGGTGCAAAACGTGTATACAATAAATCTTATCACTCAGTCCATGGCTGCACTACACAGATAACTGGAATTGACATATACAACACATAAAAGTCAGATAAGTCAAATTCAATTGTTCTGGATCTTTTTATATCATTCACATTGAAATTTAAGGTCTATATCCTTAAGCATTTGATATTGATACTTGATAAATATTAAAAATAATATTGAATATATCCAAAAATGCTTCAAATAAATTTATGAGCCATGAGATATAGGAGGGTGTGCACAATTGTGACTACTTTTATTTTAAAAGACACCCTGAATTTCAGTATGGTAAAAGGTATTTACTACTGTGTTTCACAGTTACTCATCCCTCTAAGAAAGGTGTGTTAATTGTGTATTACCCTACTCACTTGCCATTTAATGCTGCTACTCCAACAGTGCTTCTGGCAATTGACATACTTGCCACAAATGTCCACTGCTGACTTTGAGGGTCCCACCTCTCAACTGTATTCAAATAACTCCAACCATCATGTCCTCCCACTGCATAAATAGGCCCTTCAAGCACTGTAACTCCTAAAATGAAGGAGAGAGTGAGAGAAGATTAAAGTATGCTTTCTATATCAGTAGCAAAATATAAAAAAGTTTTACAAAACACAGCTACAAATGAACTTATATATTCAAAGTGAAAATGGAAGCACCATTTTGAGATTTGATTAATTAAGGATTAGCAAACAGCAATAAAATTAATGCCACTCCACATGGCTCTATGAAAAACAGGTCTTGTCAAACAAACTTAATTTCATTCCTTGAGAAGAGTGTTTGCTTGAAAGAATAACCTGTCAATGATGAGATAGTCTTAGTTCTGTATATTGTTTGACTTAGCATCTCAGAACATTCTGCACATGAATTAGCTCTTTAGAATAGCAGTGAAGCACATGATAAATAGAGTATGAACTGGATACCTGATCAAGATCTCAAATTATTGTCAGCCTAAGGGAATTTTCTTTGAATGGAATTGCTTCTACGGGGGTTCCACGGGGAAGGGAAAAAAAAATCTGATTTTTTCAGCATTTTTGTAATTTATGTAGAAGAAAACACACAATTTTTCACTAGCAGGAAGCTTGATTGACTGGTACAGAATCAAAAAACATATTCAAAATCTCAAGGAAATAACTTAGAGTGAGAAATTTAAGCTGTTTCATCAATTTACCCCATAAGAAAAGAAATAAACAGATACCTTCACAGGAAAATAGTTTTGGATACATAAGGATACTTTTATCTACTGACGAAAACAAACAAAACGTAAAGTATGAAAGCTGAGGTAGGAAAAATTTAAGTAAGAAACAATATTTTAACTATGAGGGGTTTTAATCACATAGTCAAAGGAACTGATGAACTCCCTATCTCACAGTATCTTCTGTTAAGCTTAGAAGGCTCTGGAAGATGGGTTACAGCTAAGCATCATTGTTATGAGACAGTGAGCTCAGTAATTCCATTCTACCAATCCATGACCCCAAAGAAGCATCATTCTGAAAAATCTCAGGCTAAATCCAATCCTATTCCTAAATCATTCCTAAATCCTTTTGCCCCCACTCCATTTCACACAATCTGAACTCATTAAAAAGTCAGAAAACAGTAGAACATTAAAGTTTTGGAAAATGGGTTTGTTTTTGTCTTGCAAAAAAGTCTATCTTTCACTTAAAACAATGCAAAGTTTCTGCTTTCTGTGTAGAGCTATTTTGTTGTATGCCGTTTGTTAAAAGGTTGCTTGACTTTAAAAGTTTAGATATCAATGAGTTTGAAGACTCTTCATTTCAGTGTTCACAGAAAGTGTTCCTGTACTTTGGGTGTTGGTTTTGGTTTGTTGGGGGTTTTTAACTTATAAAGGAAAATAATTAAAAAACCCTACTAACCCTCACAGAAATTCTCCTCCACATGAAGTCTGACTCTCATCTTTTTCTGTAGAACATTCCGTGAACTCATTATCCAATTTTTTTTCATTGTCTTGCTTATAAATGCTTTTCATTTGATCACATGTTCCAGTTATAATTTTTCAGGAATATTAAAGTGGATACATGGTGAGGCTGATTCGCCTGTAACTGCAAACCCTTCTTGCCCTTTCTGAAGACACAAGATGCATTTCTTTTCTTCCAGTCCTCAGGAACCTGAACACCATGACCTTTCAAACGTAGTTAACACTGGCCTCAGCCAAATCCCTCAGGACTCATAGGTGCATGTTTTCAGGTTCCATGGACTTGTACATGTCCAGCTTCCTTAAATGTTCCTTAATTTGTACTCCCCCAGTGAGGGTAAGTCTTCTATGTTCCAGATTCCCTGCTTTGGTTCTGGGGACCTAGGGCTCTCCAAGCCAGTCTTAAAGAATGAGACAAAGAAGACATTGAGTACCTCATCTTTTTCATTGTCATCAGGTCCCCATTTTCCCTGAGGAAAGCCTTTCTGCTGCCCTGTAAGTCACTTATCAGATTTAACTCAAAATGAGCTTTGACTTTCCTAACCTGAACCCATCAGCACCTCTGTATTTCTGCTGGGTCACCTGTGCATTGTCCACCTTTTACATGCTTCCTATTTTAGTTTGATTATAATCAGGAGCTCTCAATCCACACATGCAGGCCTCCTACTTTCTTGCTTGATGCCCTGCACATCAAGATGGATGAAAGCAAATGATTCCTGAAAAACCTATCAGCTCTCCTGGGCCCCTCTTTTCTCCAGGGCCATATTCCCTGGAACAACCATATATACTGCCCTCAGTACTTTCTGGTGCCCCTTTGTGGAAGCTGCTGCACAAACTGCTGCATCTGTTAGCTGCCTCTATTACCTGTGTTTAGACCCACCTATCTATGAAGACACACAATTTAATTCTTATGTTTTCTAAGAAGCCAATTTGGAAAAGTTCTAAGCAATGCAGAACTATTTTCTTTCACCATTACGCAGTGTTAGCATCCTATGTTTCAAAATAGTCTAACAAGTAGTAATGACAAGATAATCATCTTCCCAAGGAAACAAATAAATACACGTTTTACATTACAGCAGACTGGGTCATATATGAAAAATTCAATATTCAAGCACTGAACTCAAGCATTTAAATTCATTCAAACCTTAGATGCCAGAACTATTAGGTGATTTTTATATTGCATATAGGGATTAAGGGGTAGAACCAAAGGTGTTGCTTTCAGCCTCCTCATCACACGAAATGGAGTGCAGTACAACTCATGTCTGTATTAAAATCTGTACTGAAATTACTAAACTGTCCATGATAACTGAAAATGGCAATACCACAATCAAAATCTTAAGGGATGCATTCTACCAAGATCACAAAGAAAAATATTTTCCAGGAAAACTGATGAAACAAGACTATTGTCTTTTCTGAATGTTCCAGGTCACTTGCTTTAATGGAAAAAAGAAAATTAAATTCATTTTAAGTAGTCGTGTTGAAATGTCAGAGTTCCAATCCTATTAGCACACTGTAGAATTCCTCCTCCTTAAAGAGCAAAGGTACTGAACTCTATATAGGTTTTGGTTTTTTTTCTAAATGGTGCAGACTATTTCTGCATGGTCTCCTGAGATCAGATTTTTCATCTTTTTGCAGTCAAGATACTGAACAGTGCATCAGAAGATCAGAGTTCATTTTGACTTAATGAAACAGGTTTTTGTATTCATTATGAGTCTTACAGTAAAGTGACATCAGAGTACATAATTTTGCTGTTTTCTGTCATCTATGTCCACTAGATAATAAACATCCACCTAGATTTACACGAAGATTGTAGATGGTTTTATTAAAATGTATTATCTAGAATGGACCTTTCCTGTTCCTGAATGGGAAAATAACTATTTCCAGCTGACACATGAAGTCTTATTGTCATTAAGCAAACTACACACAAGGATAATACTATTAACTCTTTCAGGTCAGTTTGCTAAGGGAAGAGAAAGGACACAAGACCCTCACAGCTTTTCTTCTTGTACCTCATCTTCAACAATTTGGCAAAACCACTTTAAGGTACAAGAAAAGAAGAAATCCTCCTGGATTTAATGTTTCACATGATACTACTACTCTGTTGGTTTCTGAGAAAAGCAATAATACATTCAGAAAGGGAGCATTTTATTGTGAGAGAATTACATTAGATGTAATAAAGGTTATTATTTATCTGAACAAAGAAACTGGAAATTGGTGGAATCAGATACTACTTTTTTAATTTGTAGAAAATAATAATTCTGACATCGAGAGGCTAATTTGTTCAGCCCATCTTTTGATGAACTGCTTTCAGTTTCATGGCACTGTGAACAGTTTAGCTTTGTTAGTTCTCATACTGTTACTGGAGAGCTGAGAGCAGAAAACCAACCACGAAGATTTCTTTTTAGGAAAGAACCCGTTTTCTTAAGAGGAGATATGTTTTCAGTAATATATTGAGCAGTTAAGTGCAGTAAGTACAGTGCAAAAAGCCCTTAATGTTTCCCTGAAAAGGCTGAAAAGCTTAATAACTCAGTGTTTGCTATTTACTCAGTCATACAGAATTCAGTATCTATTAAACTTTATTTCCTGTAGTAAAGATGCTTAGAGGGGAAATATGTATAGACTTGATTAAAACATGCCCTAGCTAAATTATATCTCAATGTATTGCAGTTCACCAGCACAATCTGAAACTGGCAGATTCCTGAACTAAAAAACAGCAACAACATAAATGCACCTGGAAAATAATTCTCCTCTCTAAGACTTTAGATTTATGAAAGCAAAAGGTTTTATTTTTAAGCTAAATGAGATCTAAAATATTAATATTGTCCACTGTGCAATGTCAGGCATTTTCCTTCTGATTGCCTTCACAAAGCTATGCAGAAAAAAAACATTATGTCTAATTAGGTGCTGAGCTCTGTACCATTCCAATTATTTATACTTGAAGACTGGAATGGGATTTTTAAATTGCTTTTCTGTGATGTTACAAAATAATGGAACACTGCCTATCATATTTTTAACTCTGCATTTTCTTATCAGCCTGAAGGACTTTAAATTGATGGATTTTAAAAATTGTCATTTTTAAAAAAATAAAGAAATAGGGAATATAGTTTGGATACAAAATGGCAAAGAAAATATTATCTGTTCTGCTAGCTTCACTGTAGTCTCTGCATTTTGATATTTGTAGAGACATGAAATGTTAACTGGAAAGGATAAACTAGTATCCAGCAACTAATTTTTTTCATCAGAACATTACCTTTAAGAGGAAGACAAACAGATACTGTATCATGACATTGAAGATGAGAAAACAAATAAGTGCTTTGCTATCCAAGTATTGAACTTGATTAAATAATACCAAGACTTTATTCCACCCTTTTAGGCTCTGCATTTATTTAGTTTTCAGGGGGCAGTACATTTCTAACAGTCTTCTTTTTCACCCATATCCACAGAAGCATACTTATAGACAATTTTGTATTAATTGTAACTAGCAATGCTGCTTTTCCTTCTTTGTTCTTGCCCTCTTAAAGTCTTAAACCACTTTTCTGCCATAGTAGTGATGTCAAAGAAAGCAATAATGGTAAAGTTCAATTTGTTTTAAATCATGCAT